ACAGATACAGACAGCTGATTCCTGCCCTGTTTCTCTGCAAATGTCCCGACTGAGTGGGGAGGTCTATGTCTTCCCAAAGCTCTCTCCCTTCATCTGCTCCACCTGCTTCCAGTGGCTCCCATGCCAGCATCTGCTAAGGCTGTGACCTGCCCTGCCCCAGATCTCTTCTGTCCTCACAAGCCCTTTGGAAGCTCTGCAAGGTGGCCCTCCCTTCTCCTTGAAGCACTCTCTTCTATCAGCTGTCCCAGCGAGGCACAGCTGGGATTCCCTCCCTGGAGCTTCTTCTCAGCACAGGAGATGCACATCATCCCTGCTGACACAAAGGGAGAGATGCAGACTCAGCCCAGTGATACAGTGTTGGGGGCGTGGCTTAGTGGAATAGACCCTGGGGAAATGGCTCAATGGTATAGAGCACAGCACTTGGGAATGTGGCTCAATGGGACAGGGGACAGACCCCCAGGGGTTCAGTGGCACACTGCCTGGGGGCATGGCTCCATGGTACAGCTCTTTCCATGGTACACCTCTTGCAAGCAAGAGGCTCTGGGTTTGATGCCTAGCACCCACCGCAAAATAGTAATGAGTAGGATGATCAATTCTATACGTTGCCATAAAGTTTTTCCTGACACAGTTTCAGGTGTACTCCAAAGTGCAAAAATTATACAACAGCTTCCCAGTTACCCCCACTCACACCTCCAGAGTCCCCAGATTCTAACATTAGCATTCTTCTCTCCATTCCTCCCCACCCCTCTTTTACATTCTCCCTCTCCATTTTTCTCTTCCTCCTCTGCCTTTCTCTTTCTACTCCGTGTCTATATTTAGACTTACATTTTATATACAGTATGTTTTTAATAAATCATATATCTCTAATGTGATGGTTTGGTTGAGAATGGGCTCACATGTTTGAATAGTGGAACTCAAATTGATAGAACTGTTTGGGAAGGATTAGGAGGTGTGGCTTTGTTAGCTATTCCAAGCCCCACCACCACGGTGATGGTCATGGACTTACCCTTTGAAACCATAAGCCCCAAATAAACTCTTCTATAAGTTGCCTTTTTCATGCTGTTTCATCACAGAAGTAAAAAGTTGACTAAGACATTTATGTTTTGTTATCTTCTGTATATTAACCCAAACTACCTGCTAGTTGCAGTCATGCAAGCCTTCATCGGGAAGGATTCTACTATGAAACCAGAGGGCATTAACATGGTTCACTCTTCAACCCACAGAACTGTTTCAGCAATTCTCAGCATAGTCTCACTGTAAGCCAAAAACAAACTTCTGTAACTCTGTAGCTGAACAATTTCTGGGCTTTGTATTTCAAGGCCTGACTGACAGGACAAGTCCTGGTGAGTTGTGTTACGGGGTCTGTTTGGAGCCCGTACAACTCATACACCAAGTCAACGCAGATGACAAGATTTATTGTAATCGAGCCACCAATAATCAATCAGTATTGTGGAATATTAGTTTAACATGTGTTAACATTTGTTTATGCTGTGGAAAATTTGTTTAATGATGCAAAGATGTGTTGCATTCTTTAATGTTACATTTGTTTAACTCTGTAAAGCTGGGTTACTTTGCCAAAATCCTGATTGGTCTAATTAAGAGCGGGATGGCCAATAGTTTGGCAGGAGAGGGATAGGCGGGGCTGCCAGGCAGGGAGAATAAGTAGTAGGAGAAATCTAGGGAAGAGAACAAGGAGCAGAGAAAAGGAAGGCTGGAGGACATCAGGGACCAGCCACACAGCCAGCCACAGAGTAAGAAAGATATATAGATAAAGGAAGGCAAAAAGCCCAGAGGCCAAACATAGTTAAAGAGAAATTGGATAATTTAAGTTAGAAAAGCTGACTAGAAACAAGTCAAGCTAAGGCTGTGCGTTCATAAGAATAAGCCTTCCATGTATTTATTTGGGAGCTGGGTGGTGGGCCTCCAAAGAGTGAAAAACCCAACTACAGATCAGGGTCACAGAACAGACTCAGGAGCTGAACTGTGACCCCGAATGTCAGCTGACGCAAGTATTTAAGCACAAAAATAATAAGCATCAGTGCCAAGTTACAAATTATAATTTTTCACCAATCAGAATTCAAAGATTTAGGGGCTTTCCATGAGTGTTCCAGTATTGTCACCTGCTGGTGGCCGTGTCAGAGGAGCAGCTGAAGTTCAGGAGGTCGGTCCACCAGGAAGCAAAGCGCTGATGGGTGGACGTGGGTGGGGTAGGCCCCGAGGGCTTGGGCCCCAGGGTGTCTCTTGCTAGTGCTGAGCTTTTGCGTGTTTGCCGCTGCCATCATTCTCTAGTGTCTGGCGTGTGAATGGGTGTGGGGTGATCCCCACTGCCTTTAGTGTGGTGTAATTATCTCAGTACCCCCTGTTCTACTGGGCATTTTTACCCATGGATTATTATGAAGATGACGTCCTCGTAAGCTGCAGTTTAATTGAAGGAATGATTTTATACAATAATAGTGTTAGTTTAAAGAGGGTTTTGACAATTGAAGGTCTTTAATAAATATAATAATGAATTATGATAGAGGTCAGTTTAGTGGGAAAAGTAATATAGGTAAAAGAAAAATATGGTGTTGCCCCCACCCCTGATGAAACAGAGGCTGCAGAGGACAAAAAAATTAGAACAAGGAAGTGTCCCACAGCTAGTTTCTCTTGAGGAGCCACGTAGACTGTGGTTTAGGTTAATGATTAAGAAAAACAATTGAGTACCAGGAGCTGTTAGCTCAAGTTCTTTTAATCTTCATGCTGAGAGATGTGTTCACAGGTTTCGGTATGCATCATAGCTGACACAAAGTGTTAAATAATGAGTTAAGGTTAGGTTGTGGTGTTTTTGTTAATAGCTTTAGGGTGAAAACCCAAGGAAACGATCTACAGTTTAGAAAAGCTCATAGTTGAGTGAGGGACTCGTTGAGGTCGGGAACAAAGCAGCCCAGTTACTATTAACCGACGAGTCTTTCTTGTTAGGATGGATTGGCGACCAAAGATGGTGATTAATTCCCTGTACCTCTTCTGCCCTCAGCTTCCTGATATTAAAAAATCCTGCTGATGAGTGGGTACTCACCCTGAGGGTTTAAAGTAGAGATGACTAATTGTTTTTCATACACAAAAGTTTAGATTTTCAAGTCTTCTAAGATTTCTTATAAGGTTACCTTTTGAGATAAATAACAAAAATGACTGGTCCTTTCTTTGTAACCTCAAAATACAGCTTGCTAACCAAAGAACTGGCAGAGAACTCAAACACCTTGCTTGCTTAATCTATAGCAAGTTGCTTGAGTGTTGATATGAATGCATGTGAGTTCTTGGGAACAACTTGTTTTTCACCTGTAATATGTAAAAAAAAAATCTAACCATGTAAAGGATATGGAAAATGTGTTGTCTTTTACTTGTATTTATGGTAATCATCCGCTTAAAAAATAGAATGTAACCACATTGTAATTTTTATACTTCTTGAAAGATTTTTCTGGGCTATATAAGCTGTAAGGAGAAAAATAAATTTAGTTAGAAGGAAGATGTCAAGAGAAAGACAGCAGGAATGAGAGAGAAGATGATAGAGAGACCCTCAGCAACTCATGCTGTAAGCTTCTCAGTCCAGACAGCCAGACCTACTTATTCTTTCTCCTTTTTTCTTTTTCTTTTTGGTTTTTGAGACAGGGTTTCTCTGTGTAGCCCCGGCTGTCCTGGAACTCTCTCTGTAGACCAAGATGTCTTCGAACTCACAGAGATCCATTTGCCTCTGCCTCCCAAGTGCTGGGATTAAAGGCGAGCGCCACCATTGCCCTGCTAGGGCTTTTAACAGCTGAGCCAGCTCTTCAGTCCCAGCAGCACCCTTCTGTGTCCCCCGCCTGGCTTACTTCTACCTGGCCTTCAAGACCCAGTTCAAAGGCCACCCCTTTCCACCATGTAGGTCCCAGAGATGGAACTCGTGTCGGGAACCCATTCAGCATCCGGTCTTGAGGGCTCCCTCTCTGTTCTAATGGGTATGAGGTGAGCGTCCCCACCAAACCTGGCACTCCTTGGGGACTGAACCGGCTCCTCTTCATGAGTCCAAGATCCCACACGGCACCCAGTGTGTACATGCAGGTGCTCTGATGTTCTGGCACCATCTGTGGACAGGGAGGGAAATGGGCCAGACACACCTGAACATAAACTCTTTAAATGACCATGCTTAAGGTGTTTCAGAAGAACCCTCTAGAATCCACCCAAGACTCTCTGAAACTGGCTTTTCCAGAACAGACATGTGGGACTGGGAAGCATCTCAGAGGCAGAGCACTTGGGTGTCTTCCCAGGACCATAAGAAAAAGGACACTTCCACTAGATGTGGGGGCACGGATCTGCAGGCCCAGCACAGGGAGACAGATCACAATTTCAGGCCTGGGCTACAGAGTGAAACCATCTGCAAAATGGGGATGGGGGAGAAGGAGAGAGAGAGAGAGAGACAGAGACAGAGACAGAGATAGAGATAGAGACAGAGACAGACAGACAGTGACAGAGAGAAAGACAGACAGACAGAGACAGAGAGAGACAGAGACAGAGACAGAGAGAGTGACAGAGAGAGTGACAGAGAGACAGAGAGAGACTTCAGTTCAGTTCCCAGCACCCGAGTCAGACAGCTCAACTGCCTGCTAGTCCCACTTCAGGGGTCTTCTAGCCTGCACAGGCACCTGCATGCCCCTTCACATGCAAATACAAGTAAATAAAATGTTTAAGTGACTAGCAAAAATAGTGATGTGTATAAGTAGTAGCTGACTCCTTGTACTTTTCCATAAATCTTTAAAATTTTGGTTTGACAGGCTGTAAATCCACTGTCGCTTTCTTTGGCATAAGCATGTTGACATTTTGTCTCCTTTAAGTTGATATATTTCTTTTTTTAAATATTTTAATTATTTATTGTGTATACAGTCTTCTGCCTGCATGCCAGCAGAGGGCACCAGATCACAATCAAGGTGGTTTTGAGTCACCATGTGGTTGCTGGGAATTGAACTCAAGACCTCTGGAAGAACGGTCAGTGCTCTTAACTGCTGAACCATCTCTCCAGCCCCTGATTTATTTCTTAAGGTTGGTTTATCTTTGTGTGTGTTGTGTCTGTATGAGGGTGCCAGATCACCTACTTGCTGCCACATGATCCCATTTCTGTCATCAATCCTGCCCAGGCCCAGAACACTTAGACCCTACCCTAGCTGAAGGCACCCTGTCCTTTGTGTCCTAGGACAGCCTGACCGTCAATCATTTATGACTGGGCCCCTGGGAAATGATGCCTGAGCGAGGAGGTCTTAGGCTATGCCCAGAGACCTGACTTGCCCCCCCCAAGGGCTGGCTACCTCCCTAATTGTAATCATGTCATCTCTACATCATAGTGTCTGAGACAAGGCTTGGCACCTGTGAACTGCAGAGAACTAAGGAGAATCCTAGACTAGAAGAAATGCTGGAACTGGGACCCTGGCAATGGTCAGAAGAGGGATTTCGGTGTGAGAAAGGGTTCGGAACACCCATGAAAATGTTCAAATGCTGTAACTGTTTACGATGGGTCCTGAGGGACAATGGAATGTTGAAGGACTGGGTGCGACGGAACACCCGGGTGCCAGGGACACTCCTTCTGTTTTTTTTAACGTTTATTTATTTTTATTAATGTGTTCATGTATTGCATGGGTGAGTGAGCAGACATCCACAGGGGCTGGAAAGGGGCATCAAATCCCCTGAAACTGGGGCTATAGGCAGTTTCTAGCCATCTTACATGGGTGTTGGGATCTGAACTCATCCTTTTCGAGAGCCTCCGTTTTGGCATCCAATAAATGAGAATAAGTGAGGTAATGCAGGACATACTTGGCTCAGAGCCAGGTACAGAAGGGATCAACAAGATAATACATCAGGAGCCCCCAGAACGGGGCCCTGGCTGGTCATAGCAGAGCGATGGTCTCCTATGGAGTGCAGGGCCGATGGAAGGAGGGGCTGAACTTGAACCCACAGCTGGTGTGCTCAGCTACGGGTATTCCTAGAGAGAGGACCGAGTGCTTCTATCAGGCAGCTCCTTTGTGCCACGAGGTCAGAGCCCATAATTCCCATCCCCTAAGTACATCATTGGGGTGGGGATGTCAATCATGCAACCTGGTAGTGTTTAAAACCTTTGCTCTGAAAGAAAAGTCAAGGAGGCCTCTAAGGAGGAGCATGGTATGCTTGTGAGCGCTCACTGTTAGCTTGGTGCTGTGTTTGGTGAGTTCTCACTGTTAGCTTGGTACTGTGTTTGGTGAGCACTCACTGTTAACTTGGTGCTGTTTGGTGAGCACTCACTGTTAGCTTGGTGCTGTTTGGTGAGCACTCACTGTTAACTTGGTGCTGTGTTTGGTGACTTCTCACTGTTAGCTTGGTGCTGTGTTTGGTGAGCGCTCACTGTTAGCTTGGCACTGTGTTAAAGCCCTTGATATCCATTAGTCTGGTCCATACCGAGGTTCAGTCTTGAGCCTGAAAGTGGAACACAACAGCCAATGGACCTGGGTCTGAGTCCACGCTCTCCTACCTGCTGGCTGTGTGCCCTTGGGCAGACTACAGCTCCTCCCTGTGCCCGCTTCCTCCTCTGTAACTCAATGTAAAAGAGCAAAAAGGCCGGCCATGGTGGTACACACCTTCAGAGGCAGGAGAATCTCTGTGAGTTCCAGGCCAGCCTGGCCTGCATAGAAAGTTCCAGGCTAGCCAGGGAGGACTACACAGAAGGACTGTGTCTCAAAGACACTTTTTCCTTTAATTCTCAGGCTCTCAATCTCAGGGGTCCCCCTGCCCCCAAACACAAATTAGCAAAAGAAGTTGTGTGTAACACTAGAGTCTTGTGAGCCAAAGAAAACCCAAAGAAACGGTAACACCTGGGTGTTTCCATGCAAAGTTCTGTGGCGATAAAAGGCTAGAACTCACTGGAGGTGCGGGGGGGAGCCAGAGCTGTTAGGGCCCAGCCTGCCATGCCCCACCCCCCACCCCACCACACCCTGGCACTGAGAAGAGGCACAAAGATGTCCAGGGACCTCCTCCCCGGAAGTCCATCCTCTGGGTTGTGACCGTTGACATGAGGTTCAGGTTTAAATGGAGGGTAAGAGGTGTGTTTAACCAAGCAGTCCCTGGCAAGGTGTGGCCCTGCCCAGCACTGACACTGGCTGATGGTTAACTCTGTTCCTGTTTCTCCAGGAAGGTGATCTGACAAGCTGCCAGAACCTCGTGAAATAAGTTCCTCCTCTGGCTGGGTCCAGGTTTCCACTTTTTTCCTTCTCCCAGCCTGAGACTCTCAAGACTCTGGGGACTTTGCAGCTCCTGCAGGATGCTGCTTCAGGACTCTGATAGCCAAAGGAAGGTCCCAGGGCCTCTCATCAGGAATCTCATTCCAGCCACCATCCTCCTGCCCCTCTCCCCATGAATCTGACTCCTCTGGGTGTCTCACATACCCAGTAAAAGACAATGTTCATAAAAGGTATTTAACCTGAACTCACAGCTTAAGGCAGTGGCTCTCTAACGCTGTGACCGTCTAACACAGTTCCTCATGTGGTGGTGACCTCCAACCATAAAAGTTTTCTGTTGCGGCCGGGCAGTGGTGGTACACGCCTTTAATCCCAGCACTCGGGAGGCAGAGACAGGCGGATCTTTGTGAGTTCCAGGCCGGGATGGACCGACAGCCTCCAAAACAATACAGAGAAACCCTGTCTCGTAAAACCAAAAAAAAAAAAGTATTCTGTTGCTACTTCATAACTGTAGTTTTGCTACTGTTATGAATTGTAATGTAAATATCTGATATGTAGGATACCTGATGTGCGACCCCCCCAGGGGTCCTGACCCACGGGTTGAGAACCATTGGCTTACAGTGGTTCAGTGAGTGTGTGGCTTTGATAAACCGACCATTCATTGTAACAGCCAAAGGAAACTGATGGTTTATTCTCATCACGAAAGCCTCAAGGGAACCAAAACAACACCCCAACGTCCATGAAATGACACCTGTGGAAATTAAAGTGGGGTCACCCACGCCTACCCTCCTGCTGACTCAGGGAAGGTGGTGCCTTATGACGCAGAGGGACCAGGCTGCACCAGGCCTGCATGGGCTACACTCAACCTGTATGTGACTTAGCTCACTTCATTCTTGGTTTTAGTTCTTGGTTTCTCTGTGTAGGCCTGGCTGCTCTAAAACTCTGTCAACCAGGCTGGCCTCAAACTCCCGAGATCCGCCTGCTTCTGCCTCCTGAGTGCTGGCCTAAAAGCATGCACAACCACGCCGCTCACTTCATTCTTTAACAATCATGTACAGAACTTTCATCATTCCCCTTTATAAAGAAGGGAAACTGAGGCACAGAAAGGCACATTTGACCCCGGGCTTCAAACCCAGACTCTTCTGACTTTGAGATCCTAGGCAGTGTCATGCTGGATCGGAAACTCTACTCCCTATCTCTGAGGAAGGAATCCCCGCGATCATCCTCCTCTGGAGCCCTTCCAGGGTCCTCTTAAAGTCTTAGACCAGGTTCCTTGGGTCTCTGGCGCCTCCTGCTGGCAGCAAGGTCCATGGCACTTGCCTGAAGCTTTTGCTCAGTCAGTGGCAGGTCAAAGGGCTGTGGGTTCCAGTCTCTAGGAACTGTTTCAGAAAGGTTTTTTTCATTTCCACGATGCCTCTGTAGGCTCATTCAACTGGTCCATGTGACCACTGTCACCTGAAGCACCGTCTCCCACCTGTATGTGGTTGGTTATCACCTGCGACTCCAGCCCCAGAGAAATTGGACACCTCTGGCCTCCATGGGCACCCAGACACACATGTATCTATCCACATACAAACACAACACTTAAAAAAATTAATTTAACTTTAAAACTGAGTTGATACCCCAGGATCACAGAAGAAACACATTAAAGTAATAAGATGGGCCTAGAGGGCCTTCCTCTACTGCCCCAAGTGCTGTTTGGTGTCAGACAGGTCACTGGGGCCCACATTTGGGTTCTCAGTTGTTCCTCTGACCAGAGAGCCTAGGGGACCTGGCATTGACCTGGCCTGACACAGGTGGAGTCCCTGAATCCCAGCCCAAGCTCTAGGGAGGAAGAGGGTCCTGGGTACTAAAGGAAGTTGCTAAGCATGCTTGGACAGCAGCAGAAGGCTTCTGGATGACCCAACCCCAAGAACCCTGGTTCCCTGTGTCTTGAAAATGGGGACCTGGTGCCACCTTGTGGCCATCAGCTCTTCCGGCCTTTGCCGGAATTGCAGAGTGTCTTGGCCATGGACACCTGGAGACCTGCAGAAGTTGGCTCATTCCTCCAAGTGTTGTGTCACCCTCCCCCGCCATCCCCACCATCCCCAGCTGGCCCTCTCACCAGCCAGCCAGTTTCCCATCCCTAAGAAGGAGAAGAGGCAGGCTCTTCTGGGGAAGGGGGGGGAGGGTTGAGGGAGTGAGGTAAGGCCAGGCCTGCAGGTCCCGTGGCAGCCACAGAGGGGAGGGCGCCATCTCAAGTCCACTCTGGTCTCCCGCCAGGATTCCTGTCTCCACAGGGAGTCTCCTCAAGTGAGGTCATGCCATCATCACATTCCGGAGCTCTCCATGACCTTAGAGAGAGCCCGAGTCCTTTCATGGGACTCACAGGTGGGGCCAGGCTGTCCCTCACACTGTGGACATGTCCAAGTATCTAATAAATGGTACTGTCAGAAGCCCCTCTTGCAAAACCTTCAGACAAGGGTCATCTGCAGAGAAAATGGCTATGAGTAGTGGGACTTGGCTCTGGGCCAGGCCACCATAGGCTGAGCAGTTCACCACCCATTATTTTTACCATCTGCAATCATGCAGGCTGGGTAGTGTTTTCTGGATGTATACAGTGTCCTGTCTGCATGTATCCCTGCAGGCCAGAAGAGAGCACCAGATCTCATTACAGATGGTTGTGAGCCACCGTGTGACTGCTGAGAATTGAACTCAGTGCATCTAGAGGAGCAGCCAGAGCTCTTAACCTCTGACCCATCTCTCCAGCCCCCCCCCAAGTGTTTTCTTTATAGAGGAAGACACAGAAGGCCAGAGAGGGCTCCAGCAGACCCAAATCATCCAAATCCAAAGGCCTGCATCTTTTCTGCTGGAAGTGTTGGGGCCTCTGTTCAAGTGGGAGTAGGGGTGACATTGCCCACTGCCCAGGGCTGTTGTAGGGGTGAAATGATCTCAGATGTGGGGAAATGTCAGACCAGTTCCTGGCACAGCCTTGAGGTTCTATGCCATGGCTGTTGCCCCTGGACAAGACCTGCAGGGTAAGACTCAAACCTCGGCACAGTGCTAGCTTTATGCAGATGGATGGGGTGGGTGGCCTTGCTGGTCCCCTACTCTTGCTGAAATTTTGACTTCCAGGTTCAAGAAAGGCCCTGCCTCAAAAACTAAGGGGGAAGGGCTGGAGCATAGAGATGACTCAGCTCCGTGGTTAAGAGCGTTGGCTATTCTTCCAGAGGACCAGCACCCACATGGGGACCCACAGCTGCCTGTAACTCCACTTCCGGGGGATCCAGTGCCCACTTCTGGTCTCTCAGGGCACCAGGCACACACGCAGTGCATAGACACACCTGCAAGTAAAACACCCATAACACGTAAAATTGAAAATTAAGATAGAAGGTAGAAGGTGATACAGGAAGATACCTGACATTGACCTCTGACCTTCACACATGCGTACATGGGTGAGCACACCACATACATGTGTGCACACACCTGAAAGTGAAGAAGGGAGTCCTATCAAAAAGATGTCCACATTGATCTTTGCTGCTAGGCCCTGGATGGTCATGGGTTTTGTTTGTTTGTTTTTAATTCTGCATTTTGTGAGCTTCCCATCTCAAAGCAGGCTCATGGATGTCTTAAGTCACCTCTCAGCCAGGCTCCCCAGAGCCAGGCTTAGAACAACGCCACAACAGAGCAGAGCACCTGGCAGAGGAGGCCCCTCTAGGCTCAGACTCTCTGGCCTGACGTGTTTGGCAGGGGTTGTATTGGAGAAGGGGTCCAGGACCATCAGCGCTGGGAGCTGATCAGATCCGGGCCTACCCTTTGCTGGCACTCTCCAAAAGGCACTGAGAGATGCCATTTGGATTTTCTAGTCTCCGTGGGAGCAGCAGGAGCAGCCATAATATGTGAGACCTCCGGTCCTCAATCCACCACCAGCTGTGACCACTTCAGCTATTTTAAACCCTTGGACTCCAAAAGCTCCTACCCCATCAAGCCAGGCACCAGGCCCAATGAGGTGAGCCAGAACCAGGTCAGAGGCCTGGGTGTGAGTGGCCAGACAGGGGGTGGATTACATAAGGGCGAGGGGGCTTTGTCCTGAGCCTTGGACCAGACTCTGTCAGCATTTTCTGAATATTGTCTCATTTAACATCATCTCTTACGTTTGATCATGCTGAAGGATTGCCTCTGAGTTTACTCGTAGGGTAAGCTGCCCTCATCCACTAAGCCCCTGCCTACACACCATGTCCCCACCCAGGTTCCTGCTCTGCCCCTGCCAGGAGCTGTGCACCCCCCTGGGTTAATTTTTCACCTCCCCTGTGCTCGCTTTCTTCATCTCCAAAGTGGCAGGGTTCCTGGAAGATAAGCTAATACACTGGAAAGTGCCGCTTGGAGCAGCGTGGGAGCGCAGAAACCCCAGGAGCAATGAGTCCACACTGTTACTTCTGCTCAGCTGGGCAACCACGGCCTTTGCTGGATGTCATCACAACCCTGGCTGTGTTGTGACCCACTTTGGACTTGGATGAGAGGAGATGTGTCCTTGCCCCACACTGGACCCCTCGCACTTGGTGGGAGTAGGTGATATTCTGCCCCTCTCTGGGGTGGGAAGCACCAAGTCTGGCGTACATGCAGAGGGATGCTCAGATCCAAGCCTACCCCTGGGGGGAGGGGCTCCATCAGCTTGGTGCCACCCGGATTCATCCCCCCACTTAGGCAAGTAGCCCTCCACATGCTGCCTCCTGATTGGAGAAAGCTCTGCCAGGGACCAATCAGAAGTTACCAGCTTCTCTTAGGATCTGAACAGGAAGCCTTTGGGGGGACAGTGACCCCTGTGGCAGGGACTCTGGATGACTGACTCCCTTCTCCACCCACATTCCTCCCAGATCCCTGACTCCCAAGAACAGCTGGGGTCCTTACCCTCTCCTAATTTGGGCATCTGGAGAAGGTTGGAGTCAAGGGCTGACTGGGTGTGCCTGGGCACTCGGTACCTAGGAGCAGCCCTTGTTTAATCCAGCACAACCCCTCCTGGCTCTCCCCTCCTCCCATCCCCCTCCCCAGTATACATCCCTCCATCACACCCTTCAGTTTCCATCCCCGTGACATGAAGCCACTTCCTCAAACACTGCAGTTTATTTCATAGTCCCAGGCGTGGGTTCAGAAGGAAAGGGTCTGGATGGAGTTCAGGACAGTTCACACCCCCCACTGGATGTCACATGCATCCTGGCCTTCCAGGACACACACTGACCTCTACCTTGGAACACCTTTTGGCGTCCCAAGCTGGGACCCTAATCCTCTACCGGGCCCCTGTCCTTCAGACCGGCACACTCTCTCAGCCACTCAAATCTCCATCCATAAACACTACTCGGATCAATCCTCCCCTCTCCAGACCTCTCACGTTCCAGCCAGGGTCTTCGCGGCTGGCCCCGGCTCAGCCTGCTCACCGTGGTCTGGGACAGCCAGAATACTCCCAGATCACTCCTAAGGAAGAGCCGTTCCAGACTCATGCAGTCCCTCTCATGCCTGGGCTTAGCATTCTGGTCCCTGCCAGGGGCAGGATTCCCCCCACTCCCTATTTCCCGCGTCAATGTAGATCTGATGTGGGGGTGCCCAGATTCCCGAAGATGTTCGGGAGTCTACTCTCCTCCCCCTTGTGTCGGCAAGATCTTCTTTAAGGAACTCCAGGGGTCTCCTCTGAGAAGCCTTCCCTGACCCCAGACTGGGTGTGGTCGCCTCCTCTGCTCCCACCCACTCCTGCCCTGTCCCTTCGCCTGCCCTTGCTCTCATTTTCTGCCCCTCCAGGATGTAGATGCAGAAAGGGGTATTTGTTGACCGAGCTAGCCAAATACGGAAAGCAGAAATTGACAGCTTGCGGTTAGCGGGTGCTGGGGGCGGGACCAGGCCTGATGGACGGACCGCAGGCCCACTCCCAGAGGAGTCCGGCGGACAGCCCCGTCCAGCCCCGCCCTTCGGCTGTAATTTAAGGCCGCCCGCAGTGCAGCGGCGGGCGCAGGCGCAGCGGCGAGCTCACCTGTGGCAGGTGCTCAGTCCTGGGAGCAGCGGGGACGGCAGACGGCTCTGCTGGAGTGATAAGATGCTGCGGGAGCGGACGGTGCGGCTGCTGTACGGGAGCCGCGTGGAGGCGGTGTACGTGCTAGGCACGCAGCTCTGGACCGATGTGTACAGGTGAGCCGAGCGGGCGAGTCGCCCCCTCCAACCCTCCACAAACCTGAGACCCTGGACCAGGACAGCCTGGTTCCAGTACCCCAGTTGTCCTTCAAGATCCTTAGAAATCCCGAGAAGCCCAAGAAACCTGATATCACCCAGGCCAGTGTCCACTTCCACGCAATCCTGAAGCCCTCCAGGACACCCAGTCGCAGCCCCTCCTCACCTCTCTGTGACTGCTCCTCCTTACCTGAGGCTTCCCACGCCTGGTCTCTTCAGCCACTCTCCCCGGTGGCTCTCTATATAGCAAGCCCCTCTCACTTACCCCAGGCCCTCTTGACTCACCCCAGCCCCTCCTGACTCACCCCAGCCTCCTCCACCAGTGGACTTCCTACTCCCAGCAAGCAGAAACTCCCTGGGATGTGCTGGGGCCTGGCTTGCTCGAAGGGGAGCTGCCCAGGTGGAATCTGGCCTGGAACTTATCCGATTTCACCGCCGGGGGCTGCTGGTGGTTGCCTGTCCCCAGGCACTGGCTGTGAGCTGTGTCACCAAATGCCTTTCCTGGCTTCACCCTGAGATTAGATAGGGGTCACTTTCCGCTTGCTGATGTCCTGAGAGCCAGGATACGTTCCCCTCTCCCATCTACTCTGTCTACACACTTGATGGAGTTTGAGTACCTGAGACACAGGGTGAAGGAGCAGGAAACGGGTAGAATATTGTGTGGGATACAGAGAAGTGTTGGGGTGAGCGGCCTGAGAGCCCACACTGAGGTCTGATACGCAGTTCTCTGCCCCAAGCATTCTAAGTGTTCTCCATGGCTATGGTGGGAGGGTTCCATGCTGGAAGGAGGGGCATGCAGGACTCTGAGGTAAGACCTTGTGATGGTGACCTGGGTGGGTACCTCCTCTGTGGGCCTTGTTCCCAAATCATTCCGACAGGAAAGCACCCAGCCCTCCCAAGTCCACCTCTGTGTCTCCTGTTAAGCTCCCCCCAGCCCACCCCCCATCCCCGCCACTCTCCAGTTCCCTCCCAATGCCCAGCCATTTGTACAGGAGGCACTGGCCCTGCTGAGCCCAGCCACCCTGCGACTAGGGTCCCTCTCTGTTTCTTTATTCCTAGCTTATGCCTCAGCTCCCACATCATCTGGGCCTGGACCTCACTGGCCCTGCACGTAGACCCCAAAGGAGGACTGGATGGACCCTGAGGGTTGTAATGCAACCCTCAGAATGTGGTCTAGGCGTCAGTGGCCTGGGAGTGTGCCCATCTCTCCCTCTTCCCAGTTCTGAATTGGGTACTGCCAAGGGGTAAGCCAGGATCCAGGGCGCCCAGGTCCCTAAGCCACAGTTGTCACCATGCCCGCTTGCTTGCTGGGGCACTGTGGGTACTGTCTGAAAGGCTGGCACACTGCCTCTGCTGGGGCCTAAGGAGCAAAAGGGGTCCATACCGAAGCCGTTGCCCTTGCTCCACTCTGGCAGAGGGAAGCCCAGTCTGGTGGGGGACAGGAGGGCGGCTGCCCGTTCCTGTTAGTTCCACCAGCCTCAGCCAGGACTCATACACAGTTCATGGTATTGAGAGTCCCCAACACCAAGTGCAAGAACAGCCTAGACCAGCACCTGCCCAAAAGAGGCTTTAAATGTTGTAACAGTCTGTGTTTTAAAATAACTTAACCAGATATGGGGTTGGTGGTTCACACCTGTAATCCCAACACCAGAGGGCCCTGAGGTCAAGGCTCATTTAGACTACATAGTGAGTCCCAGGTCAGCTTAGGCTACCAGCATGACGCTTTCTTAACCTTCCCCCAACACATGCATACACACCTCAAAAAATAAATAAATAAAATAAGGAAATGGCCTTTAATCCCAGCACCGGGAAGGCAGAGACAGGAGGATCTCTGTATGTTCAAGGCCAGCCTGATCTCATAATGAGTCCCAGGACAGCCAAGGCTACACAGAGACATTGTCTCCAAAACAAGCAAAAGAGAAAGAAAGAAAGAAAGAAAGAAAGAAAGAAAGAAAGAAGGAAGGAAGGAAGGAGAGAAAAAATAATAAATATTTTTTAAGTTAAGGCTAGAAGCTGGGAGTAGTTGTGTATGCCTTCTAATCCCATCACTTGGGAGACAGGGACAAGTATGGACCTCTGTGAGTTTGAGACCAGCATGGTCCACGTGACAACTTTCAGGCCAGTCTGGGCTACATACTAAAACCCTGTCTCAAAACAACAAAAGCTAGGGCTAGAGAAATGGCTCTGAGAATAAATGTTGCTTCCCAAACGTGGAGATCTCAGTTTGGATCCCCAGGTCCCATGTAAAAAGTCAAGTGTGGCTGTATGCTCCTGTGCCTGTTACCAGCCGAGTCAGGTCCAGTGAGAGACCCAGGCAGACAGTGTCAGAGCAGGACTACTGACACCCTCCCCTGGCATGTGTACTCCCCCACCCCCCACACACGCACGTGTGCATGCACAACACACACACACATGTGCATTCACAACACACACACACAGCAGTTGGAGAGATGTAACTAATGTTGACGCTATATTTTGTTAAGGCCAGCGTATCTAAAATGTCGTCACTGGAATACATGATAATGGAAAGATGGCTCATGAGAAAGATGACATTCTTTTCCCTGTAAGATTTTGTTATGTTCAAAGTTCATCTGGAGTGGGGTGGCTGACCACTCTGCAAGGTCCCCTCAGTCACCTATGCTGGCAGTCACCATCCTGGACAGCAAGTATCTGGAGCAGAGAACCACAACCCCTCTGGGGAATTTTTGGCTGAGGGGACTATTCTGCATGGTGTAGCATGATGAGTAGTATTCTGCCTCAGTTTACCCAATGTCAATAGCAGCCCCCACACACACACACACCACAATATGACAACCAAAAATGCCTCCAGACAATGTCAGTGATCCCAGGAAGCGAAGTCACTGTCAGCTGAGAGCACATGTCAGCCAGAAAGGAGCCTCCTCCATCATCCAGTATCTGCAGGGCAAGCTCTTCTCAGGCAGACGGGAGCAGGAGGGATCCGTGGCCATGTAACACTAGGAAGTGATGCACCTTCCCCCTGCCCCCTTTGTTCTTGTGAGACCTGGAAGATGCTCTCTCAGCATCCCGATTTGCGGGTGAAGAAAATGAGACTCAGAAAGAGGTGGTGGCATATACCCTTAGTTCCAGGCAGAGGCAGCTTATCTCTGTGAGCTCGAGGCCAGCCAGGTCTACAGAGCGAGTTCCAGGACAGCTAGGGTTGTTGCACAGAGAAACCCTATCTGTAAAAAAAGAAAAAGGAAAAAGAAAGCCATTTGCCTGGTGACAACCAGGACCCAGGTGTAAGTCTGTCCAGCTCAGAGCTCATGCTTCTTCCTCCACTCTGCCCTGTGACCTGGCCACCCTCCACCCTGGATGGGAGTCCCCTGTCCCAGAGATAGTACCACGCCCACCCAGCCTTCTACTTCTTACTTCCCTGGCTGAGACACAGGTCCTGGCTCAGGACCCCAAGTGATGCTGTCGCACCCAGGACCTCTGAGTAGATTTCACGCAGCAAGCCTGCAGGTAGTGCGCCCAGTTATGCAGGAAGGAGAGTGGAGCCCCCTCGTGCTTTCTTCAAGTCACAAAGGTGAATGAGCAACCCCACTCCCCCGTCAGGGGCTGAGGGTGAAGGGGAACCTTTTCCTTTCAGACCTTGTGGCCCTGGTAGGAGCTGCCCCGCCAGTCCAGTGCATGTGGGGTGAGTGGTCTCTGGGTGGAGACTGCTCTGAGAAACTTTGAAGCTGTTGACACGGTAGAAACAGACAAATTTTTGTTTTATTTTGTTTTGGTTTTCAAAGGCCTTTTTTTATCAGGCTGGAGAGATAGCTTTGTGGGTGGGACCAGAGTTTAAATGCCAGCACCCACATAAAAATCACTGTAACCCCAGCACTGAGGGAGCAGAGATAGGGGCTCACTGGGCCTAACTGGCTAACAGCCTAGCTCAAGGTCAGTGAGAGACCCTGACTCAAAGAAAGAAATTAATCCCAATACTTAGAAGGCAGAGGCAGGTAGATCTCTATAAGTTCCAGGACAGCCAGGCCTGCATAGAGAGAGTGTCTAAAACAGAGAGAGAGAGAGAGAGAGAGAGAGAGAGAGAGAGAGAGAGAGAGAGAGAGAGAGAGAGAGAGAGAGAGAGAGAGAGAGAGAGAGAGAGAAAGGCAGATAGAGCAGGTCATTCAGTGTTGTCCGCTGGCCTCTGTGAGTATGCACATGTAAACACACACACCAGCATACACATGTGCCTACACCACACACACACAAAGAGAAAGGGAGATCTTGACATTATTTACTTAATATTGCTCCCTAACACTTATTGAACACCCAACCGCCTTCCTGATTTACATGCACATTTCATATGCATGCGATCATTTGCATACATGCTACCCTCATACCTGACTTCATGAGATAGGTGTCATTAAGTTAGACCGCGCTCGGCTGAGGAGTGCTGGAGGAGCGAGGCCCAGGCTGCCCGGGCTCTCTTAACCTGACTTCCTGAGCCTCATGTTTGGGGCATGGCTCCTTCCTGCTCATTCCCCACAGGATCATCATGGGCTGTAGAGTGGGTGACTGGGTGGGTGGGTGGGTGGGTGAGCTAGCATGGTCATTGGTGGTTGCAGACTGACCAGCATGGGGCTGAAATTCCCACCTCCAACCTCAACAGACAGACCCTGCTGGATGGGTCCCTGGAAGGTCAAGGGTATGTGGCAGAGCTTGGCAGAGCAGCAACGCTTGCTGCCGAGAGAGTGACGAAGGAAGACATGAGGCCAGGTCCCGTGGCCCCATAAATTAGAACAACACCCAGAGTCCTGGGCCCTGGACAGGAGGCGCTGCCAGGAGCTACTTAGGACTCAAGTTTCAGACCAGTGCCCAGGGGTGGGAGGGCTGAGGAAGGACCTGGCCCCCTGTGTGCCCAACTCACAGTCCCTTCCTATAGTGGGGGTCCATGAGGCTCTTCCTTGCCCACCGCAGGTCCCTGAGTCAGGGTAAGAATGTATTCACAG